CTGGGCCCGGCCCCCCGATCCATCCATCCTCTCGGACCCTTCTCCACCCCGCCCAGGACCCCGCGGCCTCTCCCTGGGACGCAGCGACGCCTAACTTTCTTCGAAGAGCCCCCTCCCCCCACTCCCTGCTCCGCGAGGGCGGTTGACTCAGCGCCTACCCTTCCCCCTGCGGAGCCGGTCGCGGCCGGTTTCTGAGGCAAAGCGCTGGGCTCCTTACATCAGCCCCCCACCCTCCGCGCTCGGCCCCGGAGAGGAGCCTGGGGGACCCTCACGCCGGCCGCGCCTGACCGCTCTTCCCCGTTCCAGGTCTGAAGGGGCGTCTCGATTACCTGAGCACCCTGAAGGTGAAGGGCCTTGTGCTGGGCCCAATTCATAAAACCCAGGAAGATGACCTCCACGGGACCGACCTGGAACAGATCGACCCCACCCTGGGCTCCAAGGAAGATTTTGAGAGTCTCCTGCAGTCGGCCAAGAAAAAGAGTGGGTGCCCCGGCGTTGGCGAGGGAGCAGCTGGGAAGGGCTTGGTCTTCAGGATGGGATTGTTGTCTGGTGTACCCCCCACTGGCTCTGAGTTTTCCTAGGGCAGGTACTAAGGAAGTTTGTTAGGCTTCCGCCTAAACTGGATTTGTCAAGTGGTTCAGAGACGTTTACTTGGCTGTGCAATCGTTTCCCTTCTGGGCTTCAGTGCCCTTATTTTCAAAATGGGCTTTTACAAAATCGGTGATTTTTCAACTTGAAAAGAGTGGGTCCTTTTGGAAAGAAGATCCAGATAAAATCTTGTCTTTCTTTAAAAGGGTTCACTTTGGGGTTGGGAAGCCCAGGGCCCTGTAATCAGCCTTCTCCATTAACACTATTAACCTTCTGCCCTGTTTAGATTTCAAGGCCCTTCCTTGCCCACGTCTCTTTCAATGGACTGAGATTTGCCAGGGTTCAAATCTAAGCTTTTGTAGCAAGTAATACAAAGGAAATAGCCTGCTGACTTGTATTTGTTGATTTCCTCTTTTCTCCTGGCCCCAGAGTCTTTCTCAACAACTGCTTTTTGCTCCGTTGTTCTAGGCATCCGGGTCATTCTGGACCTCACTCCCAACTACAGGGGCCAGAACTCGTGGTTCCTCCCCGCTCAGATGAACACTGTGGCCGCCAAGGTGAAGGTGAGTGTGCTGGTGCCCATGGCAGGCGGCGGCTGCGAGCTGGGCCTGTAACCCTAGGCCGCTCCTCCCACACAGGCCAGCAGCGCACCCCTGATTTCACCCCCGATTTCACTCGTTCCTTTTTTGACGGCTCACTTTTCTCATTTTCCTGACTGATGGTGACCTACCGCGCCAGGAAGGGCGCGTCTCAGATGTTAATCTGGATTAGATTTTTCTTCTTTTCGGGAGAGGAAACCCTTTGGTGGGAATCTGTCCAGTTCTTGTTTGATGTGTTTTGGAGTACAGCCCAGTCTGAAATTCTAAGCACTGGCGTCTTCCCCTGTGTCTGAGCCGATGCTAACTATTTCATGTACGTTTTCTAATCCCCTGTGTACCCACGCAAGGTTCCTGTCGTTACCCCCAAACTGTAAAGGAGGACCCTAAGGTTCACAGGGCTCAGTGTAACTGGGATTTGAGGTCCAACTAGCCTTATTTCTCAAATGAGACTTCCCTGAAGGTATAGCCTCAAGCTCTATATCCAAACGGCTGGGAGTGGGGCTTTGAATGTCACCCCAGCTCCTAATGCCTGGGTTCTAGGACACTGACCAGTTCAGAACCAGTAGAACAAAAATGGAGGCCCTGACTCTTGGCTGGCATCCCTGATTCTGGGTTAGATTTTATACTCCCAGCGTTTCCGTAGGACCCTTGGAGTCATCCAGTTCATCAGTTAGCAAATTGCTGGAAAACCCTTTAAAAGTTACTGATAAAGGAAGTTTTCAGAGGTAATGATGTGAAGAGTGGTAGCCTCAGATGAAAATGGAGATGAGAGGAGAGAGCACATGGAGCAGAGAGAAAAAGGGAAAAACGGGGCAGCCTCCCAAGTGCTGGGGCTTCAGGCCCGGGCCTGTTCTGCAGAGCTGGCTCTTCTTTTCAGATCTTCATCTACACTGCCCTAGGGGGATGCTTTGAATTTCACTCATTCTTGGCTTTGCTCTGACCGCCCTTTACACAACTCCCAGCCCTCAGGACGGTGTTGGGAGAGGAGTCAGTACATTTGTCTTGGGATCTTTTTTTTTCTTTTTTTTGTCTTGGGGCCTTGACTAGCTTTTGAGTCCCCTCTCTGCCAGTCTCTGTGCCTTGGGCATGCCTCTTTGCTTCTCTGAGACTATTTCCACATCTCTAAAATGGGTGTGCCACCATTTCACCCATGCTAAGTATTAAGTGAAGTTATGTTTATGAACACTCTCTTGCGCGTTCTCTGTGGTTGTCAAAGATGAAGCTCTGTAATTTGCCTTGGGGAGGAGTGAAATGCTCTATCACTAAGAACCAATGGTAGATTAGAATGGGAGGGGACGAAGGGCTAAACCTTTATAATAGAGGTGGGAAAACCAGACTACTCAAGGCTCTCATTCAAGGGACTCCCAAGGTCACGGGGAAGTGCACGGAGGCAGGCTTAGTGTGGGCTGGTTTTGTGAGCCTTTGTGTCAGTGTTGATCCCTCTCCTCTGTTCCTTTGCCCACCCTGTAGGATGCTCTGAGCTTTTGGCTGCAGTCTGGCGTGGAAGGGTTCCAGGTCCGGCATGTGGAAGAACTGCAGGCAAGTTCCCTTTACATGTGAGGGGCGGAGCCCGGATGAGAACAGTGGAACTCGCNGGCAAGTTCCCTTTACATGTGAGGGGCGGAGCCCGGATGAGAACAGTGGATGAGGGGCCTGTTAGTAATTGACTCTGCTTTTTGCCTCCTAGGATGCGCCTTTATTCTTGGCTGAGTGGCAGAACATCACCAAGAGCTTCAGCGAAGATAGGTGAGTGCCAGACCCCTTGTCCCCAACTTCACTCCATTGTGGGTACCCCTCAGTGGAGCTAGACCCCGGGGAAGGGGGCGTCCCTAGTCCATATGTCTTCTTCACTCCGTTCTTCTTGTCCTCTCCCAGCCATGACCTCTGCTTTGCTCTCTGCAGGCTCTTCATTGCAGGGACTAATTCCCCCAGCCATCACCAGGTCTTGAGCCTACTTGAATCAACCAAGGACCTGTTGTTGACCAGCTCATACCTGTCAGCCCCCCTTGTCCCTGGGAAGCACGCAGAATTCCTGGTCACCCAGTATTTGAATGCCACTAACGATCACTGGTGCAGCTGGAGTGTGAGTTCCACTGTGGTGGGAGGGGGCAGGCTGTGTTTTGGAGGAAAGGGGTGTTGGGAGACAGAGGCAGCATGGGCTTTGGGGCTCACCAGTGTGTCCATTCCTGCAGCTATCTCAGGCAGGGCTCATGACTTCCTTCGTGCCGGCTCACCTCCTCCGACTCTACCAGCTGTTGCTCTTCACCTTGCCGGGGACCCCGGTTTTCAGCTATGGGGATGAGATTGGCCTGAAGGCAGCTGCCCTTCCTGGACAGGTATTTCATGCTGCCTTCCCAGCACAGTGGAGGAGCTTGTGTTCCTCTGTCACGATGGTTCTGTGGATGTTGGTGGACAGGCATGAACCTTGGGGTGGAACTGTGTTTCATTCCTAGTTGGTCACCTACTCAGTTGCTGTGTGGCCTTGGCAAGCTTTCACTTCTCGTGGTCATCTTTCTGTGTTAACTGCATTTCTTGTAGGGTGGTTAGGATTGAATGACGGCTTACTTTAAAGTGCAATGTCTGGTCCCTGGTAGGTGTTCAGTACGATAGCCATCACTCACTCCCTCATTCATTCATTGGACAGTGGGTACTCTGCTAGGCTCTGTGCCCTCCAGGAATTCATAGTTCAGTGGGGGAGCCAGACGAGTGAGAGACATACATGGCAGTGAGTGTTGTGATAGGGTTACGACCAGGGAGGCACTCGCTTAGCTCTAGCCACAGGTGTGGAGGTTGACAACTGAGCTTATATTTATAGACCTAGCCATTCTATTATTCCACCAAATTTTTTTGAGTAATTCCTGTGTGCCATGCCTGGAGGATACGGCAGTGCACAAAAGGCCTGGAGGTGGTAAAAGTAGATCATCAGCAGATGGGATAAAGATGCCAGGTGCCAATGAGTGTCGTGCAGAAGGAAGCATGGTAAGGGGCCTGGAGAAGAGCGCCTGGGTTATATTTTATATTGAGTGGCCACAGAAAACCCTGTGAGACAACTGAGTGGAGATGAGGGAAGTGAGGAAGCTAGTTTGTGGCTGCCTGGGAGAAGAGCGCTCTAGGCTGAGGGGCCCGTGTGCAAGGACCTGAGGTGGGAGCCCTCCTTGCTGCTTGCCCAGCAGAACTTGTGTGTGAGTGAGGGAGGATATGCTCAGTAGGGGTGGGGCAAGGGCAGGAGAAGGAGTGGGGGAGTGGGCCAGACCTTCCCCAAGTCCCCTTTTCCCTGCTTTTCAGCCTGTGAAGGCCCCAGTCATGCTGTGGAATGAGTCCTGCTCCCTCAACACCTCAGGACCTATAAGCTCCAACATGACTGTGAAGGTAAGGGTTCTAAATGGGCAGGGCCTGACCAGCAGAGGGGAGCCAGGTGGCTTGTAGGGGTTTGCACCCAGGAGAGTTCTTCATCCCCTCCTGCTATGTCATCTTCGCTTGCAGGGCCAGAGTGAAGTTCCTGGCTCCCTCCTTACCCTGTTCCGGCAGCTGAGTGATCATCGGAGTAAGGAACGCTCCCTGCTGCATGGAGACTTCCATGTACTCTCATCGGGGCTTGACATCTTCTCCTACATCCGCCAATGGGACCAGAATGAGCGTTTCCTGGTAGTGCTCAACTTTGGGAATGTGGGCCAACCTGCCAGCTTACAGGCCTCCAGCCTGCCTGCCAGTGTCAGCCTTCCCACCACAGCTGACCTGGTGCTCAGCACCGAGCCAGGCCGTAAGGAGGGCACCTCTCTTGAGCTGGAGCACCTGAAACTGGAGCCCCATGAGGGGCTGCTGCTCCACTTTCCCTACGTGGCCTGACCAGGACCCATTACCGTTCCCCTCCACTCCCCAGGCCCTTTGGGTTCTGATTTCTCTCCCTTTTTTTTTTACTGTCACAGATTACAGATGAGCCCCCCCATAGGCTATTTCCTGGCTTCAAATAAAAGTCACCCCAGCCTGGTGAGGTCTTGTCTTGTTTCCCTCCACCCTTCTGTTATGGCAAGAATCTCTCTCCTCTTCCTGCCTGGACCTTCCCCACAGTGATCAGGGGCCGAGCAAGTGGCGAGCGTTTCATAGATCTGCCCCAGCCCAGAGAGGAGGGGCCTGCCAAGTCAGGGCTCAGAGATGTTGGAGCTAGGGCTGGCATCTGTGCGTCCCCCAGACTGGGCGGGTACTCTCCTGGAGGTCCCAGACCTTGCTGACTCTCCCTCAGCAATGGGTCTCTAGCCAAGTATGGTCAGTTTTCCTGTTTTTGCAGACTTAGCCGTTCAGGGAGATTGAGCGGGTGTGGGTGGCCTGTTTTCTAAAGGATACCAGGGCTATTCAGTAAGGGTTTACTGCACACTCAGCAGGTACCAGGAAGTGTTCTAGGTCCTGGGGTTACAGGAACAAAGTTCAAAAGTCCCTGTCTCCGTGGGGCTTATATTTTGGTGAGGAGACAGGTTAGAAGTAAGATGAATAAATAGAGTGTGGTGGATATGGTGATAATGGCCAGAGGAAAAAGTAAAGCAGAAGAGGTGGATGTTTGGGGGTGAAGGGAATTTGGGGTGGGAGCTAGCGGAGGCCTCACCAAGGAAGTGACATTTGAATAAAGAGTCTGAAATGAGGGAGGGAGTTAACTAGGCAGATATATGGGGAAGGAGCTTGCCAGTGCTCTGGGTTGGGAGCCAGCCTGAGGGGAGGAAGAGGGGAGAGGCAAAGGGTGCCGCCTAGTTGGCAAGATCATGAAGAGCGTGGTAAGGTGGTCACAATCGGGTGCAAAGAGTTTGGAAAACTGCACAGTGAGAGGGCATGGGCCCTCCCAGACTGCCCTTACTTCAGACACCAGCTGCAAGTTCATAACTGTCTTCAGTGGGTCATTGTTAGAACAACACATAACCCAGGAAAGCACTGAGATTACAGCTTTATTGTAGCGAAAGGATACACGTTTGAACTAACCCGAGGACCCACACAAGAAGCTTTCCCACTGGAGTCCCGGACCCCATACCTGGTATGTAGCACTGGCCATGCAGGGAAGGTCCCTGAGCCTTTGGTGTCCAGAGTATTTCTTGGGGCTTAATCACATACTGCTCCTGAGGCTGTGGCTGACCTTTAGTCTCTAGCCCCTCCCAGAAGTTCAGGTTAATACCTTTAGTCTTGTTCCTCCAAAGATAGTGAGTCCCAAAGCCCTCACCGTAAATCACAGTGTCGACTGCTGTCTGAAGTCCCCATTCTAGTAGAAACTCCTACCAGTCAGGACATTCCAGGGCCTGGAGATTATCTCCCAGCAGCTGAGGGTGAAGGCTGGACTCCCAGTGGAGATGAGTTCTTTAGGCACACAGTCTTAGAGGACCGATGGCAGTTGCAGGGTTCCAAGCAGTGACATAAGCTCACTTGTGTTTTAAAAATATATATATATATATATATTGATTTCAGAGAGTAAGGGAGAGGGGGAGAGAGAAACATCAATGAGGAGAGTCATTGATCGGCTGTGTCCTGCACGCCCCCCACTGGGGATGGAGCCCGCAACCCAGGCATGTGCCCTGACCGGGAACTGAAACAAAATCTCCTGGATCCTAGGTTGATGCCCAACTGCTGAGCCATGCCAGTCGTGCCCTGACTTGGGTTTTGACTGGCTCCCGGGCTGTTCGTCCCACAGGGAGGCTGATTGGGATGGTTGTTGCAAGTGTTTGGATCCTGCATTTATTTTGCAGATCGATCCACAGGATTTGCTGTTGGATCCTCTGGTGTCATTGTGCCGATCGGGGTTGTTAGGCCTCCTGGCTTTCTCATGATAAAGGACACTAGCTCCTGTGGCTTGGGCCTGGCCCTCTAAGGGTGTCCTGGTGTAGGGAACATACCAAATTCAGGCCCAGTCCTTGTTTGCTGACTGGTCTGCCTTGCTCCGCATCTGTGCCTGAGGCCTGTGAGGAAGGCAGGAAGGCCTGCGCTCAGCATGTACTCTAGGTGTTCAGCCTAATTCCGGAAAAGACACACCCAGCCAGCCAGCCAGCTGGACCTTGGCTCCCCTCTGCCTAGGATTTCCCTTCTCCTGCCCCTTCTGGCTTTTGTCTAATCCAGGCCTCTTCCTAAGGCTCCCCACCTCTTTCCTCCTCAGGTTCTTTCCCAGGGCCCCAGCTCCAGCCCTCTCCTTTTTCTCTGCCTCCTGGCCTCCCCTCTGACCCACAGTTTGCATCCATGTTGCTACAGGTGGAGCCTCCGCATGACTGTGCTTTGCAGTTTACTATGGACTTTTACTTAAGAAGAAATTATAGTATAACAAAATTTACCATTGTAACCATTTTTAGCTGTACAGTTCAGTGGCATTAAGTACATGACTGTGCAACCATCACCACCATCCACCTCCGGAGCTTTTCCATGACACCAAACAGACTGCACCCACTAAACACAACCACCTCCCATACATATAGATACATATATACATACACACACACACACACACATATATTTAATTCTCACCCAAGGGTATTTTTTCCATTGCTTTTCAGAGAGCGTGGAAGGGAGAGAGAGAAACATTGATGTGAGAGACACGCATCAGTTGGTTGCCTCACGTACCCCTATGGGAGCTGGCGATCGACCCTGCAATCAAGGTAGGGGCCCTTGGCCAGAATCAACGTGGGACCCTTCAGTCCCAAGGCTGATGCTCTAACCACTGGGCCAAACTGGCTAGGGCCCCCCATATTTGTTTTTTTAATTTATATATTTTTAAAACATATCTTTATTGATTCCAGAGAGAGGAAGGGAGAGGGAAAGAGAGAAACGTCAACGATGAGAGAGTCATTGATCGGCTGCCTCCTGCACGCCCCAGATGGGATCGAGCCCGCAACATGGGCATGTGCCCTGACCGGGAATCGAACCCCGATCGCCTGGATCCTAGGTCAACGCTCAACCGCTGAGCCATGCCCGGCCGGGCTCATATTTGTTTTTAAAGTAGAAAATGAATAAACCAAGAATTAAATGAAGACATCGAGGTTTTCAGCACCGCCGCGTGGGGTCCTGGCCTCTGCGCTGTGGGGGGAAAGATGGGGCCGTCAGCTTGCCGTACCATGACCTGCCTGCCCCTCACTTCCCACGTTGCAGAAGGAAGCAAGCTGAGCCAGACAGTCATAGAGACTGTTTCATTAGCCCCCTAACTGCCCTGTGGAGGAGGAATTCTCACCCTATGTCATGAGGAAAGTGGCCCGAATTCCTGTCCCCAGGGCAACCTGGGCTGATGGCAGGGCTCACCTGAAGCAGGTGGGGCAGAGGGCAGGCTACTTCTACCGGAGAGGCCCCTATGTTGTTTGAACTCACTCAGCATTTTTTGAGTCACTGCTCTGATCCTGGTACCATCCTCAACTTTCTGCATCCCGGGTGAAGAAGACCCTCCCCTCACATGCTTTCCAACCCCTAAAGGACCAGATTCTTGGAATTCTAAGCACTGAAGTCCACCACTTAAGGGTTAAGGACACTTTTAAATGAGATAATCGGGTTAATGAGACACTTTTTCCTCTAAGTCATTGAGGAGGCGGCTGAGGGCCCAGAGAAGTGAAGGGGCCCTCCTGGAGACCCGTGAACTGCCGTTTGTACCCAGGCCCTAGCTCCAAAGTCAAGCTCCCTGTGCTGGACTGGAAAGACTGGACTCGGTCTTTCCCCAGGGCCCCTGGCCAATTACCTGCCTGTGGGCCGGGGAAGGGACTGGCATTCTGCCTGAGTCATTCTTCCAGTGCCAGTCAGTGTGCTACAGTGTTGGGGACAAAAGGGGACTACAACGCTGCCCCTCCTCCACAGTTCCGGGCTTTATTGATCGGGAGGGGTAGCAGGTGTGCCAATAATTGCAGCCCTGAGATCAGGGCTGTGGGGCAGCAGTGAGCCAGGCCCTGGGGCCAGAGAGGAAGCGCCTAATCCTGGAGAGATGGGGGAGCTGTGACTGTGACTTCATCGGCGCTGAGAGTGAGGCGCCAGTAGGCATTTCTGTGATGCGCTTACAGGACAGGGCCACCCAGGCAGAGCGGGCGTTACCTGCAGCCACTCAGCTGAGACCGCACGATGGAAGTGCGGGACCATAGGACACAGTTTGGGACAACTGGGGGCAGTGATGAGAGCCGAGCAGAGGCTGAAGCACAAAGGGCCCAGCAGCCATGCTCACCTTAGCTCCGCGTGGCTCGTGCGTGGTTCCCAGCCTGGCTATTCAGATTGCTCTGCAAAAATCTCTCCCTTCCGCCTTGGCCGGTGTGGCTCGGTTGGCAGGAGCATCGTTCAGTGCACCGAAAGGTGGCAGGTTCAGTTTCCACTCAGGGCACATACCTAGGTTGCAGGTTCCATCCCTGGTCGGGGTGCACATGGGAGAGCACCCAATCGATGTCTCTCTCTCCCTCCCCTCTCTCGAAAATCAGTAAGCCTGTCTTTGGGTGTGTGAGGAATAAAAAAAAATCCCTCCCTTCCAACATCTACTAATTTGGAATCTCCAAAGAGGTAAGCCTGGGAGTCTTTTTTTTTCCCTTTTTGAAGGAGAATTTTTTAAATTACTTTTATGTACATAAAATTTGACCGTGTACCCTTAGCCCAGCTTGGTGGTCAGTTCTTCAGCCTTGGCCTTTTCCAGCTTGACAAAGCGAGCCACCAACTTTGGACGAGGGACGTTGCCTCGCCAGTGGTGGCAGATCTCATCGTATCTGTCTATTTTTAATCAGTTTTCCAAAATGATTCTCACAGCAGCTTGGGAACCATTAGGTCAATGTTTCCCAAACCTGCTTTGTTATGCAAGAGAACAGTGGTTAGAAAAGTCCGATTTTTCTCCCAGGTGTTCTGTCCAGAAGGTATGGGGTAGGACCCCCAAATCTATGTAAGCTCAGGTGCGCATGAGAAAGGAACACAGCTCTCCCTGGTGGGGACCCCTGAGACGTGCTTGGAGGGAGAGGCACCGTCAGGCGTGAGCTCCAGAGAGCTCGCTGGGGCTCTGCTGATGTGGAGGAAGAAGTTGAC